TCAAAGGACAGATCACTTTAAAATGGAGCCAAATATTTTGCTTGAGAATCACTGCTGCATTTCAGTCTGGAAATTTCCTTTTCCATTCGGACTTCAAATCTTTCTACTTCTGTGGCCTCTACCACTATCTTTGCTCCTAATCTTGTCTGTTATTTGAAATGCTTTTTGAAAAATCTATGTAGACCATATCACATTTACTTGATCCAATTATTCAGCATTTTCTTCTTTTATTCATTCATTCTCAGGATGAGGGCATTGCTGGCCATGCAGCATTTATTGCCCATCCCTAATTGCCCAGAGGGCATTTAAGAGTAAATCACATTGCTGTGGGTCCGGAGTCACATGTAGACCCGACTAGGTAAGGATGGCAGTTTCCTTCCTTAAAAGAACATTAGTGAACCAGGTGGGTTTTTTCCCCCGACAATCAACAATGGATTCATTGTCATCATTGGACTCTTAATTCCAGATATTTTGCCGAATTTAATTTCTACCACCTGCCATGGTGGCTTTCTGGGTCCCCAGAACATTATCTGGGTCTCTGGATTAACGGTCCAGTGATAATACCACTAGGCCATTGCCTCCCTAAGTATCTTATAGGTGATCAAGCATGAGCAGCAAACAGGACTGATTTGTTTATCTGGTCCATAATTTAAGACAACAAAAACTATTGAGAATTTAAAGTAACAGCATCACTTAACAGGTTAGGGAGTTTCTAACTACTTTCAAAATAGTGGCAATCTTAAGAGAAGTTTTAGTGTAAACTGCAATGGGGCACAACTCTCAAGACGTACGGAAGAGCAGCATTTTTAAAATTTGCGAGACAGACTTTCTAGCAGCTTGGCACAGGAGATTCTAATTACTTGGACAAGAAAATCTCAACTACCCTACAAGCACCATTATCTGCAAGAATTTAATTAGTGTTGGGGTGTTTTATATAAATCCACTAAAATAAACAAGTGTTTTAATAATATTTTCTCCACTGGTACCAACTGCCAAGTCAGGAAAAAAAGTCACAAAATACCCGAATGTTCAATAGAGAAGCTCACTTATGCAGCTTAAATATTTAGCTATGAGTCACCAGACCAGTAAAAGTCTGGACACTCAATGTAGGAGCTCAATTTTAAAGTTGCTGGGCATTACCATTCATTTACATACTCCTCTATTTCACCTGAGCAACTCCCACATGAGGCTTATCTGATCATTCTGGGAATTTGACACAATGAAATAGGACAGGGTGGAAAAATTAGTCAAATTGAGGTTGTTGACTTGCTCACCGAGCTGGCTTATTTTTGTCCAGATGTTTGTTCACCATGCTAAGTGTCATCAATGGAGCCCCTGATGAAGCAATGTTGTTCTACTCCACTTGGAACCGATACTGTCTGGTCCATTATGGTGAGTACTGTCATTTCCGGTTTTCATCTCTATGGGTTTGTATATGGAGTCCATTTCTATATGTTTGTTGATTGAAGTATGGGTGGAGAACCATGCCTCTGGGAATTTCCGTGCGTGTCCATGTTTGGCTTGGTCTACTATGGTTACTTTGTCCAGTTAAACTGATGGTCTTATTGTCTGAATGCACAGATAATAAGGAGAGTTCATCGTGCCGTTTTGCTGCTAGCTGATGATCATGTATTTCGATGGCTAGTTTCCTTGCTGACTGTCCCACGTAATGTTTGTGGCAGTCATTGCATGGTATTTTGTAAACCACGTTGGTTCTGCATGCTGTGGGAATGGGGTCTTTAATCCTTGTAAGTGTCTGTCGTGGAGTGGCTGTGGGCTTGTGGGCCACCATGATTCCTAGTGGTCTTAGGAGTCTTCTTGTCAGTTCCAATATGTTCTTGATGTAGGACAGTGTGGTCAGTGCGTTAGGTTGTACTGTGGGATGGGTTTTGGGATGCGGTGGGGGGAGGGGAGATTTTGAAGCTTGTGAAATCCACATTGATACCATTGGGCTGCAGGGTTCCCAAGCGGAATATGAGTTGCTGTTCCTGCAACTTTCGGGTGGCATCGTTGTGGCACTGTAGGAGGCCCAGGATGGACATGTCGTCTGAGGAATGGGAGGGGGGAGTTGAAATGGTTCGCGACTGCGAGGTGCAGTTGTTTATTGCGAACCAAGCGTAGGTGTTCTGCAAAGCAGTCCCCGAGCCTCCGCTTGGTTTCCCCGATGTAGAGGCCACAACGGGTACAGTGGATGCAATATACCACATTAGCAGATGTGCAGGTGAACATCTGCTTGATGTGGAAAGTCTTCTTGGGGCCTGGGATAGGGGTGAGGGAGGAGGTGTGGGGGCAGGTGTAGCACTTCCTGCGGTTGCAGGGAAAAAAGATGTGGTGGGGCTGGAGGGGAGTGTGGAGCGGACAAGGGAGTCACGGAGAGAGTGGTCCCACCAGAAAGCAGATAAGGGTGGGGAGGGAAAAGTGTCTTTGGTGGTGGGGTCGGATTGCAGATGGCGGAAGTGTCAGAGGATGATGCGTTGGATCCGGAGGTTGGTGGGGTGGTACGTGAGGACGAGGGGGATTCTTTTTTGTTTGTTATTGCGGGAACAGGGTGTGAGCGATGAGTTGCGGGAAATGCGGGAGACACGGTGGAGGGTGTTCTCGACCACTGTGGGGTGGGGGCGGAAGAGAGAGAAGGGTGGAGTTGCAGTCCTTGAAAAACGAGGACATCTGAGATGTACGGGAGTGGAATACCTCATCCTGGGAGCAGATGCGGCGGAGGTGAAGGAATTGGGAATAGGGGATGGCATTTTTGCAGGAAGCTGGGTGGGAGGAGGTATATTCTAGGTAGCTGTGGGAGTTGGTGGGCTTGAAATGGATATCGGTTTCTAGGTGGTTGCCCGGAGATGGAGACAGAGGTCCAGGAAGGTGAGAGAGGTATTAGAGATGGTCCAGGTGAACTTAAGGTTGGGTTGGAAGGTTGCTTTTCTGTATACTGAGGTTCGGAACTCCCCGTTTGTCAATCGCTTTGCTTTAACATCCAGAAATGGAAGTTGATTGTTGTTTTCTTCTTCCCTTGTGAATACCCTGTTGATGAGGTGGTGGGTCTCTAATTTGTTGCATTTAACCCACTCCAGAACTACACTGATGTGCACCTATCAAATTATGCAAATTATGAAACTATGCAACTTCTTAAAAGCTGTAAAGATCTCCTGGTATTTCAGCTACATAGCAAACCAATTTCCATTTTAGTTTCCAGTCCCAAAAGTCATCTCCTACACTATGCTTCCAGAGAGAGTGACCAAACATCTTCATTTGTTGAAACTTAGCGGTATTCAATGCATCATACAATTGTTACAAGTATCATTAACAGCTCCATTACTCTGCTCTCTTTGCACTCAGCCTCTGCTTTAAAAGGCAGCTTTGGAAATTTATTTACAACCATAGATCAGATACTGCTGCGAGTTAGTCAAACTTTCTTTTTTCATTTTGCAAGATTTTATGACTACAGCATCACAAGCACACAAACCAGTTTTCCACATGTTTGAAAGTCCTTCACAATTCAATTTTTCAAAATGTCCCTCCCTATTTAAATGTTTTATTCTAATTTCCATTTACTACACTTGTGTATTGAATTACTAAATATTGAATTTCAGACCAAAAAAAAAGTTGTTTTCTCCCTAATCCAGACATAGTGAACTGAGGTAATGGCAAGTCAAATTTTGAATATCATTTAAAATCCACACTAAACTACATTTAAATGAACAATGGCATCAGACCCTGGTGCATAGAGTTTTATATTAGAGAGCAGCAAAATAAATGTAAACCAAGCAGACAGATCTTTCTCTCCATTTTTAATCCCTCAAGTCACAGCTTGCTGTATTGATGAGTTCTTCCTACATTTGTTATATTCTATCGCTTTGTTAAAATTTAAAAACACTCAGTTTCCTTTTAACCATGACCAGTGTGTGTAATGTTGATGTCATGGGTCAACACAGTAGCTCATTCATCATTCCTCAAAATTCCAAACATGTTTTTATTCCATGTATGTTATATACAGGCACACAAGCAGCACCAAAATACACTGACTGACTGTAGCCTTCTGTTGCTTTTCTACGCACTTGGGGAATTCCTGAAGGTACATATGACTTTGTTTTTAAGATTTGTTAACCACAACAATGCTTTTTTTTTTTAAAAAAAGAGGCTTAGTCTGTACCGTCCAGAACACTGAACATCATCCAGAGGT